TCTGTGTGTGTATGCATGTATATGTATGTGTCTATCCCAACTCCCAGAAGAATCTGAGGACTACACACAGTGGGGTATCTCTTCTCATGGCTTTGCATCAAGAAGGGAGAAGGGGGCAGCCGTTGTGTAACGACACAAGAAAACAAAGCGTTCTAGTCAGACACTACTTGCTCAGCGTGACACGTAGCAGGTAAAACAGAGGCAGAGGAACAGGACTGCCCAAGTAATTTCTTACCTTGAAGACAGAGTTGCAAAATCTCCTCCATCCAGCAATCTAATTTTGCAGAACAGAACCCCATTCACGAAAGGGACAGCGGTCAGTTCCTCCAGAGTGAAACTGGTCTGAAACTTGAACTTCTTCTTCTTCATCAAAAAAGCCATGGGCAGACTTGAACAAGACCCAATGTTTAAAAAAAAATAATAAACCCAATTTTTGTTCAAGAAACCCAATAGCAGCAGCAGCTATGAACACAGATGGAAACAATAACGATGTTTCTAAACCTGAAATGAAACCAAAAAGCCTACAGTCCATCCAATTATTTTTCTTTTCTTTTTTTAAATAGAGGATGAATCCTAGTTCCGTTGGAACAGCAGCCTCGCTTTAAATGGAAAAATCTCCTCTCTTTGGTGGTCAGATCTGGCTATGGTATCATTGCTGATGCAGATTTCAGGCAAGGAGGACAAATTGAGCCTCTGGTTCATCTCCAAGGGAGGGGTAAAGGAGAGAGGGGGAATCTTAGCTCCAGACCAGCAGGAGCGGCTTTGATTAGAGGTGGAAGTGATCCGTTTCTTGCAGGGCCCCTCTCGAAAGCATTGCTGTCTTCTCTTTGAGCTGGCGTAGGGCACAGTCAGCACTTCGGTTTCAGTCTCCTCCCCTTGTGCAAAGCTTCAAATGCATTCGAGCCTCTGCCAGTTTCGCTGTGGCTCTCGCAGGTGTCTTGTCAGCCTAGGAGGAGGAAGCGAGGTGATTAGCCACAGCCTCCAAGCGCCTCCCTCTGTCCCCATCCCCACCTCATCATAGACAGATATGCAAGTCTTCATCTTGTTCTAATCTCAGAACCAACACCGGTTGTCTTACACCCCCGAATGTTATTCTTTCCCATACATAGCAACTGCAATCCTCTTGGAACAATCACAACATACAACCAGTGTTCCCTCTAAGCTGAGTTAATGTGAGCTAGCTCACAGGTTTTTTTAGCCTCCGGTTCACACATTTTTGTCTTCGCTCAGGAGGGACGGCTCCAGAGCAAACTCATTTATGCAGCAGCCAAATCGCTCGCTCACAACTTTAATGCCAGTAGCTCACAAAGTAGAATTTTTGCTCACAAGACTCCACTGCATACAACCCTGAAAAATATTTTCATTTGATTGTCAGTACGCAACAACGGTCCTCACACAAAAAAGGGATGCTCATGTTCTCTCCCCCTCCATGCACACATCAAAAGGTGGGTTTGTGAAATTCAGCCTGTGGTCTTTTTCTTGTGATTTTTCAGCCAGCTTCAAGAAGTACTCAGCCACCCCAGAATCAAAAGAAAGGGGAAAGAAGGCAAAGGAGGTCACTCGAGATTTTGCAAGCAGTGATACAAGCAAGCAAGCCTTTCTTCCAACCTTAAATCTGCCTTTACGTTGGTGCTCTTAAACCTCTGGATTTGATTTAGCCGTTCGTTTTCGGTGACTCACGGCACACAAACAGTCAAGTTTAGCAAAGCAAATCCTGATTAGAAATTATTGACTGTATAAGGAGGAGTCGACTGATAGCAAAAATAAACACATGGAATGGATTTTCAGGACTTGACCTCTCCTGCTTTTGATATTCTAACTTCCTCTCCCACACTCTTAGTTTCTGAAGTTCAGCACCACCGCTACAGCCACGTCTCTTAGGGTTTTTTAAAAAATATATGGTTCTGTTCAGCTCTGTTTCAAATAAACATTTGCCCAAGAGGATCTTAGACCTCCCCTCCAGTTCGTATCCAAGCACCCTCCCCCTTCCAACTACTGGGGGACTTACTCCCTTCAGTTGTTTACGACCAAAAAATCCCTTCTCCAGTTTCCCCCAGTTGGTTTCCCCACACAGGCACCCCTCATGCAACAGGCTACAGGTTTTCACAACATGTAAAGGACGCTACCGACTCTCCTGAGCAGTGTTCCCTCTAAGCTGAGTTAGTGTGAGCCAGCTCGCCGTTTTCTAGCCTCCAGCTCACACATTTTTGTCTTCGCCCAGGCAGGAGGGCTCCAGAGCAAACTAATTTATGCAGCAGCCAAGTCACTCGCTCACGACTTCAATGCCAGTAGCTTGCAAAGCAGAATTTCTGCTCACAAGACTCCACAGCTTAGAGGGAACATTGCTCCTGAGTCAGCCTAGCATTTCAAAAATTACCTTTCCTCACCCATACTTCCTTCTCCAAACAAGTCCCTTCACGAAACATCTCTCTTTCCATTCAATAATAAATGTTTCCCACACAGCCATTTTCTTTTGGCTTCCTACCCCACCATCTCACCCCAATGAGCCTTCCAAGCACTAAGTTGGCTCTTCCGGCCACAATTCAAACAATTGCTCCCAGTGCCCTGTTTCCCTGGCTGACTTCCATCCTCACCGGGTTCCCTTTTTTGCCCTCCAACTCAATAGCAAGTTGGTTTCAGCCCAACTCTCTTTTTCGCCCTCATATTAAACCAGGGGTCCCTAAGGTGGCGTTCATGGGAGCGGCGGGTGCCTGCCAACACTTCTCCTGGTGCCCGCCAAGTGGGCAAGGTTAAGGTGAGGCTTTTTGCCCTGCAGGGTTTCTGACTGGCCACTGCAGATCTGACCAGCTGTGTGGATTTTTTTTTTTAAAGGATCCTTCAAGCAGCGGTTGCTACTTATAGCACGAGCATCTTTACTGCACGGCTGAAGGTAACCTGTGTGTATGCGAAAAAATATTTTAAAGCCGTCTGTTCATTTTAAAAGTTATCCTGCTAACGAGAGCTTCTGCCTGAAATTTTGAAGTTACGGTGGCCCCAGTCACACGGCAAAGTTGCCGCGAGAGAGGCACGGATGGTGGGCGGATTATCCGGGCGCGATCACACCCCAACATCTGTGAAGTGGAGCACACCGGTGGCTTACCGCCGACAATGCACCTTAAAAAACTAGTACCTCCAAGGAACTAGTAAACGTTTGCCACGGGCTGCCTCCAGACTCCCGTGGTGTGATCGCGCCAGTGCGCAGCATTCCCCTCCGGTCCCTCGTTTACCCGCCGGCGCCGAGGGAAGGACCCGTGGTGTGCCGCCAGCACGTCTGATCGCGTAATCGTGGATCAAACTGCACCGGGGCAATTAGCCACGCCTCCCCCCCCCCTCGCGATATCCAGCCTGTGTGACCGGGGCCTGTAAGAGTTATGCAAGCCTTGATATTTCGTGGCTGACTCAGCCTCTTGTGGCCAAATCCCAAAGGTGCCCACAGGCTCAAAAAGCTTGGGGACCCCTGTATTAAACCAGCTGCAAAATCACCAGCCTCTTTGACTCCTTGGAACTTCCTATGCAACAGACATATCCCTAGTTCTAAGCTGGCACAGAGCTAAGATGTTTCCCCAGATCAGATCTTCAGACTAACTTCCAATTGCACTGTCCCTTTCGTCTCTCTTCCCCACCGTCTCTACAGGCCAAAACAGTTTGCCTTCTCATTGGATGCTTCAAGTTCTCAAGCAATTTCCACAAATTCTCATGCAGCAAGAGTGACCTTCTTCAAACATTGTGGGGGCTTCAGACCTTGACATAAGGGACAGCTTGTTGGGGGAATGCACAGATGATACCTCAGTTTAGTGGTGCATGAGAGGGGGTATGTGTTTAGTGCGACACTGAGCCCAAAGATGCGAGGTTTACAGAAAAGATGATTGAGCCAAACCCCAAAAGGTTCTTGAGCCAAGCTTCACCATCCACATTTGTCTCATGATCCTTTCAGTACAAGCTGTGCTGTTGGTACAAAAGGAGGAAGAAGGTAGAGATCATGGGCAATGTTCCCTCTAAGCTGAGTTAGTGTGAGCTAGCTCACATCTTTTTAGCCTCCGGGTTACAAATTGTTGTCTTAGCTCAGGAAGGACGGCTCCAGAGCAAACTCATTTATGCAGTAGCCAAATCGTTCAGTCACAACTTTAATGTCAGTAGCTCACAAAGTAGATTTTTTGCTCACAAGACTCCACAGCTTAGAGGGAGCATTAATCATGGGGATAAATTGGAGGAAAGACAGGCTACCCTTCTCCTGTATGTCTGGCCTCCCGTTCCAAGCTGCAGACGGTGTTTGTTTATTTATTTATTCTTTAGATTTGTATCCCGCCCTCCCCGGAGGCTCAGGGCGGCTAACAAGGGCATAAAATGCCTGATAAAAACAATAAGAACAGTATAAGAATATAATACAATATACAACATAATACAATTAATAAAATCGGTGCTCTACTACTCATTCCAATTCATAAGATCAAGATGGTGTTCTACAGATGTTATAACAATACAACGACCGCATATGTCCCCACAACCCTGTCATCCGCCAGGTACGTCTCACACCCCCGATGATACCCACACCAGCGGTGGTAAGGGTGCGGTGATGGAAAAAGCGTTGATGGAATAATGGTGGCGGTGGCTCCTACTCGAAAGCCTGGCGGAAGAGCTCCATTTTACAGGCCCTGCGGAACTGCCCAAGGTCCCGCAGGGCCCGGATCTCTTCTGGGAGCTCATTCCACCAGGTAGGAGCCGCCACCGAAAACGCCCTGGCCCTGGTCACAGCGAGTTTGATGTTCCTGGGGCCTGGAATATCCAGGAGATTTTGGGTCCCCGACCACAGTGCCCTTAGGGAACATGCGGGAAAAGGCGGTCCCTTAGGTAGGCTGGACCGTGGCCATATAGGGCTTTAAAGGTAAGAACCAGCACTCTGAAGTGAATCCGGCACGCCACTGGCAGCCAGTGCAGCGCTTTCAGCACAGGCTGGATGTGATCCCGTCTAGGGAGACCCATCAACAGCCTGGCTGCAGCATTCTGCACTAGCTGCAGCCTCCGAATTTGCGACAAAGGCAGCCCCATGGTGTTGGTGGACCACTGGCCAATTTTGGGTACAGCATCTAGTGCATGCTGGCTTGCTGGGGTTCTAGATCAGACTAAGGTGTGCCTTGACTCAAATCAGTATGGTACTTGCCCTTAATATTTAGGCTCGCTACGATTTTGTAGACTGCTAACACATCACTGGACCACAGCAAAAGATAGCAGACTGAGCGAGGCCTCGTTTGTTCTTTATTACGATCATTTGACCAACCATATACACAAAGACTGAATAAGACTGAAGCCTGCCCATTTTTTACAAACTTCTTCACCAAGGGACCCAGGAGTTAAATCACTTACCACAGGTAAGCTAAGAGAGCCAGAGTAC